TACGTAACAACAGCAGAAGCAGCAACAATAATTCTAAGACTGCTCGCTCCTATCTGCTCACGTGCTAATCAATACGTATATCCCAAACCCTCGATACCCGACCTCGTCGTCTTCGATCGTACCCCCTTGGGGGTATATCTTCCTTAACTGCCACGCGCAAGTAGTGCAGCCGCCGCTAAATCAAGGGAAAAGAGGACGGGTGGAAGAGGAAAGGATAATAATGGAGCACGAGAGAAATTAGCAGGAGGGGGGCAAGGAGCAGAAAATTACTCACTGCGTGGAGCTCCCCATATGTGCATCTCGTGTTTTATGTCATGCCGTGGTGAGCGTCTGTTCATGAGCGGCATCTCATCAACAACATCCGCATCCTCACGACAACTCAGCCTCATGCCCCCTCCTCCTCATCATCATCCTCCTCCTGTTCCTCCGCCCCCTCCCTTCTCCTGCTCCTGCTCCTCCTCCTCATCCTCCTGCTCCCCCTCCCCCTCCGCACCCCCATGCCCTTCCTCACGATCCCCCGCCTCCTCCTCCTCCTCCTGTTCCTCCTCCTCATCCTCGTTCCTGTCATGTCCCTCCCTGTCGAGCCCAGAAACAGGCGAACCGCCTGAGACATCCCCACAATATGGCCGCGAACGTGCCCGTGCAACCACCCCTGGCGGCTCCCCTTAGGGGTGCTGAAACCAGCGCCCCGCTTGAGACATCGTCACAATCTGCTCTCCAAGCGAAGGATGTTGAGCCCAGAAACAAGCAAACCGCCTGAGACATCCCCACAAAATGGCCGCGAACGAGCCCGTGCAACCACCCCTGGCGGCTCCCCTTAGGGGTGCTGAAACCAGCGCCCCGCCTGAGACATCCTCACAATCTGCTCTCCAAGCGAAGGATGTTGGGCCCAGAAACAGGCAACCGCCTGAGACATCCCCACAATATGGCCGCGAACGTGAACCACCCCTGGCGGCTCCCAGGGGTGCTGAAACCAGCGCCCCGCTTGAGACATCGTCACAATCTGCTCTCCAAGCGAAGGATGTTGAGCCCAGAAACAAGCAAACCGCCTGAGACATCCCCACAAAATGGCCGCGAACGAGCCCGTGCAACCACCCCTGGCGGCTCCCCTTAGGGGTGCTGAAACCAGCGCCCCGCCTGAGACATCCTCACAATCTGCTCTCCAAGCGAAGGATGTTGAGCCCAGAAACAAGCAAACCGCCTGAGACATCCCCACAAAATGGCCGCGAACGAGCCCGTGCAACCACCCCTGGCGGCTCCCCTTAGGGGTGCTGAAACCAGCGCCCCGCCTGAGACATCCTCACAATCTGCTCTCCAAGCGAAGGATGTTGAGCCCAGAAACAAGCAAACCGCCTGAGACATCCCCACAAAATGGCCGCGAACGAGCCCGTGCAACCACCCCTGGCGGCTCCCCTTAGGGGTGCTGAAACCAGCGCCCCGCCTGAGACATCCTCACAATCTGCTCTCCAAGCGAAGGATGTTGAGCCCAGAAACAAGCAAACCGCCTGAGACATCCCCACAAAATGGCCGCGAACGAGCCCGTGCAACCACCCCTGGCGGCTCCCCTTAGGGGTGCTGAAACCAGCGCCCCGCTTGAGACATCCTCCAAATCTGATGTGTGTTGAGTAAGTCTGAGTATGAGTAGGTCTGAGTATGAGTATGCCTGAGTATGAGTAAGTCTGTGTATGAGTAAGTCTGTGTATGAGTAAGTCTGGGTATGAGTAGGTCTGTGTATGAGAAAGTCTGTGTATGTGTACGTCTGGGTATGAGTAAGTCTGAGTATGAGTAATACTGTGTATGAGTAAGTATGGTATGAGTAAATCTGTGTATGAGTACGTCTGGGTGTGAGTAAGTCTGTGTATGAGTAAGTCTGTGTATGAGTATGTCTGAATGTGAGTAAGTCTGAGTATGAGTAGGTCTGAGTATGAGTAAGTCTGAGTATGAGTAAGTCTGAGTATGAGTAGGTCTGAGTATGAGGAAAGAGGAAGAGGGGAGGAGGAAAGAGGAGGAGGGAGAGGCAGTAGGAGGCGTCCAAGTAATAACAAGAACCCCATCTTAGGATATGGGGAATAAATGGTAGAACCAGACGGGCTGATCGGGTGGGCAGACCCATAGCGGGCAGGTCGGGAAAGCGGGCCCAGGCGACCAGGTCGAGCAGGCGGGTTGCTGAAGCGTGGGTCCTACATGAATCGCGAGGATGTCTCGAGCGATAGCGCGGTGCCTAAGTAAATCGCGAGGAGACCCAGCATGGGCCACGAAGGGCATAAAATCCAAGGCCACAGAAGGCAGCGACAGGGCCGCTGAGGGCAGCACCGGGGCCACGAAGGGCAGCGAGGGGGCCACAGAGGGCGACAGCGGGGCCACGAAGGGCAGGCATATGGGGCCACGACGGGCGCGAGCGAGCGGGGGCCACGAAGGGCATTCGTATACAGGGCCACACAGGGCGACAGCGGGGCCACTGACGACAGCAAAGGGGCCACGAACGGCAGCGAGGGGGCAACGAAGGGCGACAGCGGGGCTACGAAGGGCATGCGTATGGGGCCACGACGGGCGCGTGCGAGCGGGAGCTACGAAGGGCATACCATGCGGGGCCACAAAGGGCAGCGACGGAGCCACTGAGGGCAGCAACAGGGCCACGAAGGGCAGCGAGCGAAGGCGACCGCGGAACGAGTACGGGTAGCGAGGGGCATCGAAACCGGGCGAAGGGCAGTGAGCGGCGACTGCAGTCATTAACGGGCTGGTCGGGCAGGCAGACCCCGACGGGCGGGTCGAGCGGGCGGGTCGTTGAAGCGTGACTCCTGCTTGAACCGCAAGGCAATATGTAGCGGGAGCGAGATTCCTGAGTGTCGAATACCGGGATTTGAATCAATTGCGAAGAAATATCAAGCGAAGCAGTTCGGCGGTGAGTTGCGAAGAAATCCCCAGTCAAGAAGTATCAAGCGGGAGCCGCGATTCGGTGGTAAATTGCCAGGAAACCCCAAGCGAAAAGGCGATTCTTTGATACATTGCGAGGGAGTATCAGGCGGGAGCCGCTGCTGTTGTAAACCAGGGGCCAACGACACAGTTTGAGCCTCAAGAGTTGCCCTGATAAAAAAAAGGTGCGAGCCCCTTCCGGGGGCACTTCAATCGAAAAGAGACCATGTGCACCGAACGGGGGATATCAACAATACATATTTTCAGAAATGAGAATGCAACAACAACAACAACAATCACCAGTTTAAGACTGTTCGCTCTTATCTGCTCGAGTGTCCGATAACGCGTATGTCCCAAACCCTCGATACCCGCCCTCTTCGTCTTCGATCGAACCCCTTTTGGGTGGTAAACCTTCCTTCCCTGCAGGCCGGGCCCCTGCAAGCGGCGGGGCGGCCGCGGACCGTCGGCCTGGCCAGCGGCAGCGCTGATCGGCGGCAACCCGACCCCAAGAGGGACGGACAGGGGACCGATCACCACGACGACGACGATGACGACGACGACGTCGACGACGACGGCGACGACGACGACGACGAGCGAAAGCGAGAGCGAGAGAGAGAGAACGACAGCAGGGCCGGCGACAGCGGGGACACGAAGGGCATGCACATAGGGCCACGAAGAGCGCGAGCGAGTGGGGGCCACGAAGGGCAGATAATGCGGGGCCACAGAGGGCAGCGACGGGGCCGCTGAGGGCAGAAACTGGGCCACGTAGGACAGCGAGGGGGCCACACAGGGCGACAGCGGGGCCACGAAGGCCATGCACATGGGGCCACGACGGGCGCGAACGAGCGGTGGCCACGAAGGGCATACGTATATTGGGCCGCGGAGGGCAAGGACGGGGCCACTGAGGGCAGCAACGGGGCCACGAAGGGCAGCGAGGAGGCCACGAAGGGCGACAACGGGGCCACGAAGGGCATGCATATGGGGCCACGACGCGCGCGAACGAGCGCGGGCCACGAAGGGCATACATATATGGGGCCACGGAGAGCAGCGAGGGAGCCACGAAGGGCTGCAACGGGGCCACGAAGGGCAGCGAGGGGGCCACGAAGGGCTGCAACGGGTCCACGAAGGGCAGCGAGGAGGCCACGAAGGGCTGCAACGGGGCCACGAAGGGCAACGAGATCCCGATTCCAAAATAATCTGCGCGGGGGTCCTAAGCGTGAGCGCGATTCCTGGGTGCCTGAGTGTCGGGAGCGCGGCGCTTGAATAAATTGCGGGAAATTCCAACGCAGGGGCGCTATGCATAAGTAGGTTGGAAGCCAAGTCTCCCGCGAGAGCAGGACTCCAGAGCGCCGAGAGAACGAGTCCTGAATAAATTGTAAGGAAGTTCCAAGCGAGAGCGCGATTCCTGAATAGAATGCGAGGGAGTCTCGGGCGGGAGCGCGATTCTTCAATAAATTGTTAAGAAGTATCAGGCGGGAGCCGCTGTTGTTGTAAACCGGAGGCCCACGACACAATTCGAGCCTCAAGATTTTCCTTGATAAATTACCCTGTGACGTACCCAACCCTGTCTATACATGTGGCGATTACACTCAGGACCACTCCATGCTGACTGGCATTCTGAAGGACCCGAAATGCGCAAGAAGAGCACCCAACAGTGATTTCAGAAGAGCGCAGCAAGAAGAGGAACGGCAACTATTCAAAATGGAAACACAGGGGCGTTGAAAGAAACGCGTATGACGTACCTTCGAATGATCCACGTGGGACGTACCTCCACTGGGCCTCCCAGGAGCCCACGAAAGTCGCGACAGTTGCGCAGATCGCAAGCCCCCCAGGGGGCGGCGAGGTCCCGAGGTGGTCCGCGTGGGACCCACCTCCGCTGGGCCTCTTGGCCCCGCTCGGAATGGAATCGAAGATTGGGGGTCGATTCCCCCCCCCCCTTCTGAGCCAATTCCCCCTCTGTCGGCGCCTCTGAGCCTGTCCGTCGGGAGGACCTTCCTGACCGAATGCCTCGACCTTCTGGAGCGCCCCCATCGGTGCCCCCTCCTGGTGCCAAGCTGACGGTGCCAGAGGCCCCACTGAGGCCCCGCCTGAGTGGCCCAGCGTCCACGCCAGGCTGTCGGCCTTCACGTCTTTCCCTGCGTGGCGATGATCCCGGCGTGTCTTGCCCTGGGCTCGGGCTGCAATTCGGGAGGAAGAGGGAGAGGGGGCGAGGGAGGTGGGGGAAGGGACAAGGACGGCGGAGGCCCATGGGAACACACCAGCGTTTGAGGTATGGGAGACGGCGGGTGGTGAGAGAAGGCGGACTGGCAGGAGAGAGATGGGGAGGAAAAAAGGAAATGGACGAGGATCAAAGAGAGAAAGGCAGGAGGAGAATGCGGAGGAAGGAGAAGTGCAGCCAAGAGGAGGTGCACAGGAAGGGGAGGGGGAGCCATATGAACTCTCAAGGAAAGTCAACCGAGTAATCGCGCCGAACGGGATGGAGGCAAACTGGAAAATCAGTTTCGGTGTCGGCTCGATCCGTGTCGCGCGTGCGGTCGTGGAGAAGCTGCACATGCTTGTGATCGCGGGCCCAGCTGGGGCCAAAATCGACAACCATGTCCGATTTTCTGTCAGGGACAATGCTGGAGGGTTAGTCTGTGCGGTCGTTCCGGGCGGCTATCCCTGCGACCGCACCGCAGCTGTATTGCTGTTGCCCCGTAGTTGGCATACGGTTGTCCCGTGGCTGACAGTACATCGGGTGATTGAGTAGTTCAGTATCCACGTCTTTTGCAATGTACATGCACGTATCTCTAGTTCAAGAAGAAAAATACGATGTCAATCCATACGCGTATTCCCGGCTGTGCATGTGCATAACGTCCATACACACAGATACACAACTGTACTTATATACCTACACGCCCACCCTCCAGGTGATAAGGAGGCTCGGAGGGGGGCAACGTCTCACTCAATACAACTCACTATCGATCCCACCATCGAGCTCACAATCGATCTCACTATCGATCTCACTATCGATCTCACGATCGATCTTACTATTGGTATCGCTATCGATCTCACTATCGATTTCACTGTCGATCTCACTATCGATCTCACCACCGATCTCACAATCGATCTCATTACTGATCTCACTATCGACCTCGCTGTCGATTCCAGCATCGATCTCGCGATTGATCTCACGATCGATCTCACGATCGAGGTCACTATCGACCTCACTACCGATCTCACTATCGATCTTACTATGAATATCATTATCGATCAAAATATCGATCTCACTAGCGATCCCGCTATCGATCCCACTATCGATCTCACTATCGGTGTCACTATCGACCTCACTACCGATCTCGCTGTCCATCTCACTATCGGTCCCACGATCGATCTCACGACCGATGTCATTGTCGACATCACTGCCGATCTCACTATCGATCTCACTATCGATCTCTCTATCGATCTCACGGGACACAACGGGACACCACAAGACACCACTGGAAACCACGTGACACCGCGGGACACCACGGCAGGACACCGTGGGACACCACGGGACACCACGGGACACCATCGGGACACAACGGCGGGACACCCTGGGCAACCACACGCCACGCGGCCAGTGGGCGGGGACTTATGTCCTCGCCGCGCCCTAGTCAGAGGAGGGTCATGCGGCAGCCTGGGAAGCGTTTGAGAAACGAAACAGCAGGAATGCAAACAGACATGATTTGCCACAAGCTAAAGATTTGGGCCTTCCGAAGCATGCCTCGGAGCTTTCTCGGGCGGTCTTGGGGGCCTCTTGGGCGCTGGTGACTGTCTCTTGGGTTGTTGGATCGCCGTCGTGGACTGTTGAGGAGCACCCTTGTCTGTCTCGAGGGCATCCTGAGCCGTCCTCCCTGAGCGTTCTTGGAAGCCCGGGAAGGTGGTATTGGAGAATCGCCGAAGATGGTCCGGAGGTGGGCGGGGCACGGGGAGGCGTAGAAGTCGTAGCAGTCTATATATATATATATATACATACATACATACATACACATTTAAATACGTATACACAAGCATTGGTTAATGGCTAGATAGGCGGCGCATGTGTTTACTCACACGCAGTTCTCTGCGTGATTGGCTAGACCGCTGTAAAACGAGCAGCAGATAGGCAGATAGAATTTAGGTGTGCACTTTGAAGACTGGGTAATGGGACCGCTATGTGTGAGATCAGCCAGGTGTACCAGCTTGTTGCTCGTTGTGATCATAATCAACGCGTGCACTCCCAAGCATACACGCATTGGATTCGCGCGCTGTGCAAGTGTACAGATGCTAAAAATGTGACACCTTGTGTTACATAGATCGTGAGTTAGACCGTTAGTCGTTTACACATAAGGGTCATCAGCTCGATAGTTGGATCGTCACTGGACAAGAATAGCCATCCGACGCGAGACCGTCGCAAAATGGACAACTGCACCCGCCCCAAAACAAAGAATCGTTGCCTCAGCACCAGATGCGTGGCCTTCTTTTATCCACGGATGGCACGAAATGCAAGTGAACAGAACCGCTGGAAATGATGGGGGGTGGACGGATTGGACGGAGGGGTCGCCGTGAAAAGAGTGGACGAAACTCCATGACCCCCCTCCCCATGTCCTCCCCGTGCTACCCCTTCCCATTATCCGTCCCCCTTTCTCCTCCCCCTCTCCATCGTCCCGTCTCGCCGTGCAGCCAAAAGAAGGACACCATCACTGAGCGGACTTCACTGCCCAGGAACTCGTGGAGCAGGCGGGCGATTGATTCGAGCACGTGAAGCGGACGACCGCAATGGAAAAGGGACGGAAGACAGAAAATAATAATTATCCCAGTGCGACCCTACCTAGGAGTTGGAGCCCCTGGGAAAGCAGCATTAGTAGTAACAATAAAGCTAAGCTAAAGCTAAGCTAAGCTAACGCTAAGCTAAAGCTAAGCTAATGCTAAGCTAAAGCTAAGCTAAAGCTAAGCTAGAGCTAAGCTAAAGCTAAGCTAGCGCTAGGCTAAAGCTCAGCTAAAGCTAAGCTAGAGCTAAGCTAAAGCTAAGCTAAAGTTAAGCTAAAGCTAAGCTAAAGCTAAGCTAAGCTAAAGCTAAAGCTAAGCTAAAGCTAAGTCAAAGCTAAGCTAAAGCTAAATTAAATCTAAGATATAGCGAAGCTAAAGCTGAAGTTCAGCTATAGCTAAGCTAAAGCTAAGCTAAAGCTAAGCTAAAGCCAAGCTAAAGCTAAGCGAAAGCTAAGCTAAAGCTAAGCTAAAGCTAAGATGAAGCTAAGCTAAAGCTAAGCTAAAGCTAAGGCTAAGGCTAAGGCTAAGGCTAAAGCTAAAGCTAAAGCTAAAGCTAAAGCTCCCAGGGGACTGGGGGAACCGCCCGGGGCGGGTTCCACTGCCCGGCCCCTTTAAGCCAACATGGTAAGAACCCTTCTAGGCAGAGCCTAGGTAGGGAAATATAGCGACGGAGGGTGGAGGACAAAATTGATCTGGACTCGGGCACGGAGCGCGTCCGCACTTCATTGGCGGGTGGCCCCAGAGCAGACTGAACAGGAAGCAATGACTGGACGCCCCGCTGCGGGTGGAGGACCGACGACGCGGGATGGACGGTGGAGAGATCAATGAAGGGGAATTGGAACACACAAATAAATACACACAAATAAAAATATTCCCCATATTTTCTTATATTTTCTGAGTTTTTGTCTTCCCCCCCACTGCCCATATTTTCCCATATTTTCTGGGAATCGCCGATTAATTGTCTGTGTGTTTTTCCCCCTCCTGAATCAACCGCCCCCCCGATGCGAAGGCTGCAGCGAGCGCACACAGCATTTTGCCCTCCGCAGCACCAGAGACCTGGGCTCCCTCCGCGGCGCTCGGAGCCGACGGCGGGGTCGGCGGCTCGACCAGGCCCGAGAGCATGGAGTACGCCGACTGGGCCGCGGCCTGCACGTGGGAGGACAGCACGCCCTGCCGGAAACCAGCAATGGGATGCACAGAAACATAATACTATGTGTCCGCCTTGGAGGCGCGCGTCCGACCCGAACATATAGTATACCCATCTTGTGGTATATCGTTTTCCGAGCGGTGTGGCCAGAAAGCGCCCGCCACGACGCATATACTATAAGATTTCTCGGTGCGCGCGTCGCCCCTGGGGGGGCGACGCACATATAGTATAAGTATGTTGGGGTGTTGCCGAAGCAACGCAGCAACCCACGTACACCCGAAAATAGGACTAGGTCGGGCATGCCCCCCCTATTAAAACTAGTCAAACATGTTTGGAGATGGCCAATTCTTACTATATATGTTAACAACACAACAAACAAACCAAACAACAAAAAACTCAAAACACACACACACACAAAACAAAAAAAAACGTCCCTGGACTATGTTTGACTATTTGGGAATTGTCCTCCTGTAGAGGGACAGGCCCAACTTACAAATAGGATCAAGAAAACTATCATTGAAGAAATCTAGGCCAGCTTCCCAGAAGCTTCTTGAGACAAGCCCGGGCCGATTTCTGGGGCTCGCGCCGGAGGGGGGCGACCGCGCTCTCAAAAAACTGTGCCGGCTTTCCGGCGAGTTGGTCAAGAGAACCTGACCCAGCTTTTCGGGAGGGGGTTTCTGAATCCGACACTCGACTGCACACACACACACACACACACACACACACACACACACACACACACACACACACACACACACACACACACACACTTTTCGGGCGCACGCGGCTGGGGCAAAGAAGTGGGCGATTGTCAGGCACGGCCCAGCGATGCGAACTATCGCCAGGCTTAGTGACATACACACAGGGAGAGCCGTGGGAAAGGAGTAAGGAGCGACGGTGGGTGGACAACAAGTGTCCACACCCATCGCGCCAATATGATACGAGATCGAACTGCGCCGAACAAATATCCATCGCCCCCGCCCCCCTCAACCCAAGGTTGGCGACTTAAAAAATAGTCCCCAGACTATTTTTGGACTATTTTCTGACTGTTTCTGGAATATGTTTTATTTGTCGAAAATCCCCCTGTAGGGGGACAGGCCCGACTTAACGCCAGAGCGAGGAAGGAACTGTGCATGCCTCACCCTCTTCGTCTGCGGCGGGTGCCTGCCTGAGCACCCGCACTTCCAAGCCGTGCGGCCTGCGCCGGGAGCAGCGGAGGAGGGCCGGGAGGAGGGAGGTGGCCGAGGAGAGGAGGCATGCTGAAAGAGGGGGGGAGGACCGAAAGGAGAAGGGTAGAGAGGAGGAGGACGAGGAGAATACGGGTTTGGGGGAGACGGGGACAGATAAACGAGGACAGAGAGGAGGACAGGGAGGAGAAGGACAGAGAGGACGACAAGGAAGGAGGAGGACAGCAGCATGCTGGAAGAGGAAAGACAGGAGAAGGCCGAGGAGGATACGGGGTTGGGGATGGTGCAAGTTTCCTTGCTCTGGACCTGCGCGGATGGCGACAGCGGGGCGGCGTCCTCATCGGGCAAGCCCAAAGCATGCGCCCCCCGCTCAGACGACGTAGAATCTGACAAATGACGCCCTGTCTCCTCTGATGTGCCAGCAACGGCGCCAGGGCCCAGGGTCCAAAAGCTGTTGCGCGACCGCAATGCCGAGGGTGCTCAAGAGGAAGCCCGGCCGGGATCCGAGACTTCAGTACGCCTCTGATGAAAAACTGCGGCCCCCCACCAGACGCGAAAAGCTCCAGGTCGAGAGGGCGGGAGCGGCCGGCCAAGGCACGACCGCGTAAAAACATCCACCGCTCCCGGGAAGCAGTGGAGACCTCTGGAGGTCCATGCGCGAGGTCTGGCGTCTTGACCCCTCCCTCCCTCTCGTGAGGGCGGCCAAAAGAGGATAACGGTATCCCTGTTGGGATGGGTCACCCCCCAGTACAGTGGGGGCCAGTCCACAAGAAACCTTCCACAAGAAACCCAACCCTTCGACCCCAGGACGTCCATAGATGTTTGGTTTGGGAACGTCGCGCTTTCCATGGCAAAACCATCGAAACCCAAGAAACGCAGGGCACCCTGGAGGCAAGCAGCGTGTTTCTTGGCATGGGTCTCCACTGTATTTCGCATTTTCTCGCTGCCCCCCGTAGCATCCCGCCCACCCGCATTTTCCTCCACACAAGAGCACGAGGCCGTGTGCGCCATGGCTCCTGCTGTGACGGGGGCAGGTCCGATCTGCCCAGAACCCGACGCCGTCGTCGACCTAGTCGTCGTCGTCGTCGTCGTTGTCGTCGTCGTCGTCGTCGACCTGATCGTCCTCGTCGTCGTCGTCGTCGTCGACCTGATCGTCGTCGTCGTCGACCTGATCGTCATCGTCGTCGACCTGATCTTCGTCGTCGTCGACCTGATCGTCGTCGTCGTCGACCTGATCGTCATCGTCGTCGTCGTCGATCTGATCGTCGTCGTCGTCGTCGACCTGATCGTCGTCGTCGTCGACCTGATCGTCATCGTCGTCGACCTGATCTTCGTCGTCGTCGACCTGATCGTCGTCGTCGTCGACCTGATCGTCATCGTCGTCGTCGTCGATCTGATCGTCGTCGTCGTCGTCGACCTGATCGTCGTCGTCGTCGTCGACCTCTTCGCCGTCGGGCCGCTTCGCCCCGACTCGCCGACGGACCGCTGCGCCGCCGGAGCCACATTCGGCCCGGACCCGCTCGCCGACCGGCCGCTCCGCCGACGGACCACTGCGCTGGCACGCCGCTTCGCCTGCACACAGCTGCGCCAGCGTTCCCCTAGGGGGCCACATGCGAACCCTACCCCTACACCCCACGATTTCTGAGGGGGAGGGTGGGGCTCACTTCGTTCGGGAGCTCTCGAGCGGAGTGAACCCCACCCTCCCCCTCAGAAATCGTGGGGGGTAGGGGTAGGGTTCGCATGTGGCCCCCTATCCCCGTCGTTTGTCGGTCATCGCTCTTCGGTCGACGTCGTCGTCGCCGCAATCGTTTGGCGACCTCGTCGTGGCCGTCGTCGTCCGGGGTCGCAGTCGTCGTATTCGTCAGCGTCGCCGCCGTCGTCAGCAGCGCCGGCCGCCCCCATCTCCCTGAGGATCTGTCCGCTTGCTTGCGTAAAAATTGTTCCGCTCTCATGTGCCGCCCGCTCGTTAAAGTCCGCCCGTCCGCCCGTCCGCCCGCATGGAAGGGCCCTCCCGCACGACCGCCCGTGAAGCTCCGGCCGCTCGCTTGCGCGACAGCCCACTAGCCTTATAACCCTCTTGCACAGCTGTGTTCTACGGGACGTGCAGAGACATACCAGCACTGTATGTCCACCTTGGAGGCGCGCGTCCGACCCGCACATGTAGTAGACCCATCTTGTAGCAGATCGTTTTCCCAGCGGTGTGGCCAGAAAGCGCCCGCCACGACGCATACACTATAAGATTCGTCGGTGCCAGGGGCGCCGCAAATGTAGAATGAGTATGTTGGGGTGACGCCGATTCTAGAGCTCCGACCTCTTGATTTCCGTCGCTCGTCGTCGCTCGTCCTCCTCGCCTGGCCCGGCCCAGGCGCCCCACTCCTGGCATATTGCCTCGGTGCGCCGACCCTGTCTGGCCTCACCAGGGGGCCGCCCGCCCTGGGCCGCGGAGCCCTGCACGCTCGCTTCTCGCCGTCGTTCGCCCTCCCTTCCCTGGCCTTCCCCGTGGGCTTCCCCCTGGCACGGCGGCGCTCCTCCTCCCCTGGCCTCCCCCCCCTGCCTTCCCACACCCCCTGGCCTCCCCCTGGCCTGGCCAGGCGGAGGCGGAGGCGGAGGCGGAGGCGGAGGCGGAGGAGGCGGAGGCGGAGGAGGAGGAGGAGGAGGAGGAGGAGGCGGAGGAGGAGGAGGAGGCGGAGGAGGAGGCGGAGGCGGAGGCGGAGGCGG